TATCCTTACATTATATAAAGCGCTCGCGTCTGTCTGTCTGTCCGTCCGTCCGTCCGTCCGTTCGTCCGTCCGTCTGTCTGTCTGTCTGTTTGTACGGAAANTAAAAGGTATCCATTTGTGCTCATGGAATTTTGAAGAGAACTTTCTCCTATTACGCAGAAATTACAAATTCCACACGCTTATCAACTTCCAGCTGTTGACCTTGATTTGAACGATGATCTAAGGAATTCATCCCCATTGGGTCAACTGACGGACTTTTCCGAAACTGAGCAACCTGGTGGTTCCACTCAAGTCTTGCATCACACTAATGCTGTCGAATGATGATAATAGCACTACTTAAGCAGGTCGCCCGGCTTATGCCAGGCCTCCTTCCCTACTTTCACAAAGTTGATAGAAATCTAGTCAAGGGGGGTAAGGAAGGGGGAGGGGTGCATCGCTTTCATCCAACAATGAGGGATATTGCACGGCTAGATGCACAGATGCCTATAGACGGTTCTAGGCGGAAAACTATACTTTTTACTTCTTACTTAAGCCTCAGGAGGAAAGAACCGCCGCGGTGGCTTACGGGGATGGCATGATTACCACGCCCAAAAAGCTAGGATGTGAGTTGAAGATTCTTTTGACTCATCCACCCCGGTGCTCCTTCCTTTAGTCAAAAAAACAGTATATTCTCGGCTGAGAAACGTTCCTGAGCACAATTATGGGTTAACCTCCTTATTTGCGCTTTAGCGCTCAACGTTGAAAAAAAAAGCGAAGGTCGCCCAATATGTTACCATATTCGAGTTTCCTATCCTTACATTATATAAAGCGCTCGCGTCTGTCTGTCTGTTTGTACGGAAATTCATAACACCTGTCCACGTGGACTTAGAACGTTCAAATTTGGCATGATGGGAACACATATGGACCACGAGGGGCGGGGTTTGTGCGAACAAAATGCTTTTGCGTAAATTCATAATTACTGTCCCTGTAAACCCAGAAAGTTCAAATTTGGTGGGAGTACCCAAGGCAGGGTGGAAACACATATGGTGAGTGGCAGGACCGTACTCCACAGTGGGCGGGTTTGCTCGAGATAAATGTTCGAATGGAAACTAGGAACTCCTGTCTCAGTGGGCCTAGAAATTTAGAATTTTTTAAGAGTACCCGAGGCAGGAGGCATTACTAATGGTGGGTGGCAGGATCGGACCACAGAGGGCGGGGTTAACGCCAAATTTGTCAGTTTGGTTCTAGGGCTTTCAAACTTGGCAGGAGTATAGGCGGCAGGATGGGAACACTTATGGTAGGTGGGAGGACTGGACCCCGCCCGTAGTAGGCGAGGTGTGCGCGGGTATTTACATTTGGCTTCAGGGCGCCAAACTTGGTAGGAAGACAGGCGGCGGTACGTGAACACTTATTGTGGGTAGTAGGGCCGAACTCCGCCTACTGGGAGCGGGGTTTGTGCGGAATAAACGTCGGAGCGGAAATCCATAAATCCTGACCTCGTTTACTTGGATATCAAAATCAATAGGCCTTAGAGGACAAGATCCAATCACCAATTGAATCCTAGCGCCTTTGTTATTTAAGATCTTGCTTTGATTCTTTGATATGTTTGAATGGTAAGTGCACTGATAAGGACCGATGAAATTTGGTTCACTTCTTGCTTACGACCGCTACTCAGCAAAGTTTGCGATTCAATGAAGGGTCACGGTTTTTCTCTGCTCTGATATCATCTATGGCGAAGTCTATCCGACAGCTAACAATTTTGGATCTCCATTTAATTGTGTTTCCGTAAAGAAAAGGAGCTATAATACGTTCATAAAGACATTTGGCAATGGTATTATTATGACTTGACAACTTTTGTGAGTACCATTCAAGGCTTTGAATGCCTACCAGTTGAATCTTTAATGGGTCATTATTTTCAACATCAACAGCGACAGATCGAGACAGACAGATTCTAATCAAAAGCATAGGCATCGGTACCTTTTGAATATCACTTGCATGTCCTATTGTTCCTCTATCAAACTACGTCTTCCGAAAAGTATCGTTCGTTCCGAGGAAGGAGTGTGCTGTTTGCCGTTTATCACAACTCTATCATAAGAAGGAGGGAAGTCCGGCGTTAGCCGGGCGGGTCGACTGTCTCTATATATAAAGCGATAATTTTGCGTGTCTGTTTGTATGCCCGTTTGTGCATCCTTCCGAAGCCACGTTGGCAGGACGACGATGAATGTCACGTGAACGCGGTGAAAAAATAGTTATGAAATGAGAAGTCAACCGATACTGTTCATATTGGCTCTCTAACAGTTCGTAGGTAAGCGATAGTGGGCATGTGGTGTACGGATTAGCGTGCGTAGCCCAACTGCTAGACATATAGCACGATATGAACACAGATCGAAATCACAGTCTTGAAGTTTCCACTTTAAGGCACCGTTAGCAATAAATTTAGGGTACCCTATTTTTGACGGGAATTGATAGAACTACTCTAGAATAAAGCAATAACAACGAAAAAAGCGCAAAAAACGATGAACAAAAAGAATTACAAAGGGTCAAAAAAGAGCTGGAAAGGGGGGTTGGACGAGTTTCACATTGAAGTAACGGGAGTGCTCAGGCGAGTGCACGAAGGCGACGCAATGTGTTGTCTGCAGTAGCAGACAACACATTGCGTCTCTGGCATTTGCCAACCAGCTTATCGACTTTTCACGAACTTCGCTCCAATGCGAAAGTGGTTAACGGCAATTAGATTTTGTAGTCAGCCTAGCGAGGGGCGGAGGGCGACTAAGGATAACTCTCCGGCCCCTTATTGTGCCCTATCCAGTCGTTTTCCGACCTCATTCCTGCACAAATGGTATGAGAGGGAGCGTCGAATTCAAACCATGTGCAAATCTCCGAAACCATTTTTTCGTAAACAGTGCCTTTCATGTTACTCACTTCACTCGGCAATGTTCACTCTGCTCCGCTAACCTACCCACCAGGTTACAACTTTATGTATAAGAAGGAAATGTAGAATACAGCTGGTTTTAACATATGTCTACCTTTATCATAAGGTTTCACGGACGGACAGACAGACAAACCGACATACAGACGAGCCAACAAACCTACAAACCGACATGCTAGGCTACTATCTTATAAATAAGAGAGATAGATCATGGGCCAAGATCCCCACATCGATGGCCGTATAGATTTCGGGACAACTGACATCGTAGTTAGGAGAATACGTGGTTTCATTGAGTGGCAAGTCTTGTAGCCTACTTGTCCTAACTTCGCAGCATGGTGTGGATCGAACTTCTCCTAAAATGGTAGTGACTTTGATCCATCTTTACCACTGCACCACTTAGTTTTGTCAATCTGCTCTATCATCCCGTCCTATCTAGCGAGACGAATGTCAATTAAGCTAAATGTGATAGTAAGTAAAAACATACGATTTTTNTTTTTACCATACTTTCAACTGTACCACTTTTCTCATCTGAGACTTTATCTTATCCAATATCTGAGACCCAGTCACACCCAATATTACAAACAGAAATTGGAATACTCCGTCTTCACATCAAAAGAGAAAGTGATCGAGCCAAGATCGGCACTCAACAGTTGCCATCCGTCTTTATCACCAACCATCCACCATAACGTCTAATCCTAGCTATTATTTACTATCACTACCTAAAATGCCAAGGTTCGCTTTTTGTACGGAGGACGCCTCCGACTCAATGACACTTGCCATTTAGGCTCCTTGAACGCACAGTTCACAGTAATTTTTGGGATATATAGTTTTGGATTGTTTATTTTTAGTTTAGTTTTTTTTAGTTTTATAATGGATGTGATATCCAAAGTAGTGTAAAGAAACATAAGGGTCTGGAAAAGTAGTGAAATCAGGGGTTGGATGGGGATGCGACCACAAAAGTTGCATGGAAGGTGTATTAGGATGAGCTGTTCAGTCGTGGGTGCCATTGCATGCAGTTGACAGCGGTAAGATGCCTGCGTGCAATGTTTGGTTCCCGTATTACGCCCCATCTTGACTGTATTTCGACTCGAAAAAGCCCCTTAGGCTATTCTTCAGGTCGTAGGTTCATCCAAGTAAGGAATCACAGATATCATTTGCAATGTAAACCGTGCCTTTGAAGGCCTTTTTCAGTTGTTACAAGCCATTCAATCTGAATCAACGGTCCCCTTTGCACCCTACACCACCTTTTAAAGTGCCACGGTTTCACTGCAAGCACGAAGAGCGTTTCAGAGTCAATGGAGGCTCTTGCCTTCTTGACCATTTATCAGCTCTGTACGATGATACACTTCCTATTATCTACCACCCACTGATCCTTAACACTCCACATCATCTATGAGTACCACGGCGAGGAGAACAGTTCTTCTTTTCCTCTGAGGCTCCTTATCAGTCCCTATCAATTGTAGTCGATTCCCATCGATCTTACCCAAAGCCCCTTCCAAATTTGAACGCTCTAGGTCCCGAGAGACGGAAGTTTTAAATTTTCTGACACATCGACAACACANACACACACAAACAAATACCGCACAAACCAACATACACTTTGAGCGAGTTATACGAGGTAGAATCAACGACCGAGGAGCATTCTGCTACTCCCTTGCGAGCTGCAGGTCTCAATTGCTTTCTTTTTCTCCCTCTTTTTTTCCACTCCAGATATGTCTTTCTCAAATTATCGATTAGAATGTCAAGACCCCAATGATGGAGGGAAATGCGAGCACGTTCAGTGTCTCTTGACTCATTGTCAGGAGGAACCTTGTTTATATTGAGTTATCCGAAAAGTCTCCGCCGATTATTGAGTCATCTTTGAAAAATTCCAGAAGATCAAATCCATTTATTAAACGTTTCATATCGCCCATTCTGTCCAGTGACTGTTGGCCACTTTTCTATCAGTTTTATTATCCCACTTTCATAAAAGGTTTTAGACTTCAAATCGGAAAATCGTCTCAGGCGCTTTTTGCAGTTCTCTAGTAGGCTGAACGATTTTCCACTGAAAGCTTTTGCAGAAACCCAAAGAAGAAGTAGTTTGATGATGCTATGCCTAGACTATAGATATGGTGGGTGTGGTAAGACATCCCATTCAAGGTCCAGCAATTTTTGACAAGTGACCAAAAATACGTGTGNGAACATTTCTGAGCGCTTTTGATCTGCCGCTGCCTATAAATTGTTTAGCTGAGTACAAAACCTTTCCAAAGTTATTGTTTGACTATGCGGCAACAGCTCATAATAAACGATTCCCCTCCAATTCCACCAGCGACACAGCATAATCTTCCTCACCTGGATTTTGACTTTTAGAGTAGTTTGTGACCGCTCGCTGGAAGGCTCCACGATCTCCACTTTTTCTCCACCGTTTCATGTGTTCCAAAAACAGCTCAATTTTGTTTCGTTTTCGTAGCGAGTCGCACATGGAGGCGCGTTCTATCACATTGCGCTCGCTAAGTTCATGAGGAACCCAAAGATCAAGGCGCCTAACAAAACCAAGTTCCAACAGATGATCATGGATGGTTGATTTCGAAACACTCATTCTTCTACTAGTAGTGATTTGCCGATCCGTTACGATTAATATTTTGATTTGGTCGTTTTCAAATGGTGATAGCCTTCCTGAGCGTTGCCGACTTTCGAGGATGAATTCACCTCGTCTAAATTTCGTAAAACACTCGCGTACTGTACGTCCCCCTAGAGCATGTCTATTCAAACGTACCAAATCTTCCTCCAGGCTTAGATGCATTCTTGCCCTTGCGGTAGAAGAAAAGCATCAGGCGCCGCAAATGCACGCGATGACACTCAAATTTCACACAAGCCCTATACAGAAATACTTCGAGGAATGTTAACGGAACTTGAACCGGGATATAGAGGAGGGCTTAGCCGTTCAAAAAATATATAATTGTATGACTTCAAGTTCTTGATCTTTTGTACAACAGTTGATAAACCGGGGTGGTGAAAATCGGCTGGGTTTCCGGGTTTCCGGTCAACTCAGTATAAATCGATGATTCCCTCCCTGACCGATGCGTTTCATGAATGGGACACTACAATTGGACACGCTTTTGATTGCGCTACTGCGATTGAGCTCGCTTTTGTTGTGGAATACTCAGTAAGCAAATGTATCCAAAGTACGAGGTGCTGGTGAGTGAACACCAGGACCTCATACCTTGGATATATTTGCTTACCATTAGAGGCGGTGTCTATTCATTAAATTGACAAATTCAAGTCAGTTAGGCAGGTAATTCAACTCTGTCTATGATTTGCCGAACTAGTACTATCATGATCGAAGAAATTGACTGCAAATGTATTTAGAATCTTGGGCGATTACTGACAAGAAATTCAGCAGCAATCACCAATTTAGTAGCTATGATGGGATAGAGGGAATGACTTTGTAACAAGTATCGGCCGAAATTTTGCTTCATAACGAAAGATTATTCAAGTCTATACCTGAGTATTAAAAATCTACAAAAAGCACATTTTTGACACAGAAGAACCGTAGCAATTTCAGAACAATTTCCGCTCGAGTCTGAAAAAACTCACGACAGTGCTCGGAATAGACTAGCACTTTTAAATGCGGCAGAACAAATGGGTGTGTGCAATAGAATCGATTTCTGCAATGTAGATGTTCTACTCAACAAGGCTGAATTTAGCAATGGATAAAGGCGACTATGACGATTTTGGGCCACCTGTGCGTTCGACCAAGAGGACTTGAAGCTGATGAACGATGATGCCACCAGCTTAATTGAAGAATTTAGCGTCATATTAATTGTGCGGCAGAGTACTACTTGCAATGAGACTTGAAAGCAATAAACTTTTAGATGAAGTTTTCCATCAGATTATCAGTCATGTGGAGTGCCTGCGCTTTCTTGTAGGTACCTTTGCGATTGAGATATCAATCACATTGCCTGGGGCTCTAGTCGATTCTCTTTTTTCTCATAATGAGTTCGAAATGCATGAGTGATTCCATTTCCTAGCATCAGAAAAGAGGTACAACTCTTATGTCGCAGTTTTTAGAGGCAATTTCCAGATCGAAGTGGGCAGTGCAATTTTGACGAAATATTTCGATTTACTGACAAGCCACCTTGCCGAGAATGAGGAACTTGGCTTGTTTGAAAGGAAACTCACTCACTGTGCGCGTAGGATCGTCTCGATGAGAGGTGCTTTCTACAAATTTTCAGATTTCTTTGTAGGACGGAAAAGGCTCCAAAATGAGCTGCAGCAAGTTCTATGATGCGCTACACATGCTTGGACTTGTTAACCTATGTCTAAAATGATTTCCATTCAGAATAGCCTTACAGGCTACGTTCGGAACCGGGAAGACCGTCGTCGGAGCCATTATAGCTGCGTTGCTATCTTAGTAAGGTACTGAACTCGTTGGGAAGTGACTTCAAGAATCAATTATCGGAGGAAGATTTCGAGAAGTGCGAGTTGTTCAGAGGGTATCGCGACATTATTGAAAATATGACGGACGACCAGAAGGACGCAGAGCAGTACGTTTCCGGTACGCTCAAGCGCATGGTGAAAATCATGTTCAGGGCACGGCGTCCTTCGGTCATCTGCATGACAACATCATCCCATGTGAATTTCACTGGTCGCAAGGGGATCTTCAAATCCTACATACGCGACTTCAGTATGGTAATCGGGGACGAGGCGTCACAGATCCCGGAGCCGGCTCTCCTCACGATCGCTAGCCGTCTTCCGCACGCCACCCAAGCTTATATAGGGGATGTGCACCAGCTCGCTCCTCATGTTAAATGCCCACCGACGTCAAACCCGGCCGTCCACGGAGCACCCAGTGTCATGGATCTGCTCCTTCACTCCCCCGCGGTACCCGTAGCGCCGCTCATCACCACCTTCCGCGCTCATCCAGCACGGCTTGCTCTCAAAACCGCATCGCATAAGATGGGCAGCGGGACCCTCGCGGAGGTCGTACCCGGCTTCTGGCGTCCCGTATATCTTTGTAGATGTAGCAGGCGTTTTGCGCTAGCTACTGGGTCTGGGTATCGCCCCGCAGGACATCTGCGTGATTACTTTTTACAGGGAGCAGTGTCATCAGATGAAGCCGTACGCCGAGGAGGACAACGTCGAGCTCACTACCGTGGACTCCGTCCAGGGCCGAGAGAAAGAGGTTGTTCTTTTAATTATTACAAAAACTAATTTCAATCCGGATTCGGCAGTCTTCATCGATCATCGACGCCTAAATGTGGCTACCACCCGCTGCCGGCGTGGCCAGTTCGTTTTTGGACATGCGAAATCGCTCCGCGCACTGCCCACATGGAACACCCTGCTGCAATGGGCTCATTCGCTCCGCGCCGTCGTCACCCATTCGCAAGTACTCTGGCACTTTGGTCCGTGAGCATTTGTTCGGTGAGCCACTTTTATCCTTCACCGCCGCATGCAAGCACGTTTGATGTTCAGGTCGGACTTCAGGTAAAGAGAGGAGGTGTAAGTGATGCTGTGTAAGCGTCACGGTAGTTGGACGACTTTCATGGCTCATCTGACAATTTCAGGGCGGAGCGAGGAAGGTGGAAGCTGACGAGGAGTCGGCCCAACGTCTGACCGAAGGGCGGTCGCCTTTGTACAGTCCTCTCACATCGCGGCGACGTCCCTGAAACAAATCTGTTTACCACCCTATTGCACGCTATGTGTGCCTTAGTATATGTTAACTCCTATCGTGTTATATTTATGTCTTTTTATTCGTTTCGTCGGTTGTTATGTTATGCTGTTAGGTTATTATTATCTGTTCGTTGCCGCTCGTATCCGTGTCTTATGAAGTCCCTTCGCTATGACTGTTAAATTCCTAATAAAACTTCGTCAACTATCAGTCTAAGACGCATATGCACGAACCGCATATGCTCACTCAAGGTTAGTGGATTTGAAGTCCATATCTCTGTCCCGAACAGAAATAAAGTCTTTGATTCACCCCCAAAGACTTTATCCCGGAACTTTCTTTGTTATCATGCACGCGTTTGCGTGCTTTACATATTCCAGGATGTTTCTTCTTGCCTCCTTCTACTTACGTCTTTTCCCCTTCATATATATCATATGAAGAAAAACAAGTAAATAGGTGGCGGTGATTAGAAACATACACCACGAGTGGTGTAATGGGCAAAATCAGGCTCAAATTATTCAGGCTGGAACTTAAACTCAGTGCCGGAAACCGGTTCTCACCGCGATCTATGGTGGAACAAAATGTAATAGATGTTCCATATATAACAGACCAGTCGGCTCTCCGGCTAACGCCGGACTTCCCTCCTCCTTTGACAAAGTTGTAGTAATCGGCTAACTCCCTACTCCTTTTTTGAAACAAATAATAGTATGACAAAAAAATTGAAATTTGACACAGGACTAACAGGGCAGTGCAAATGGTACTCAGTGAGAGTCGGTGCTTACGCTTTCGACTGGAAGTGATTTCAGATTACAGGCGGTCAATTAAGTCTTGTCGTTAATGATATCGAGCAAAGAGGATCGTTCATTGAATCACAAACCTTGCTGGGTAGCGGTCGCAATCTAATAGCAAGAAATAAACGAAATTTTTACCTGCTTATCGTAGTGCCTCTAACGAGTCATTATCGCTGCACTTACCACTCACTTTTGTCCCTCTCCTCTACCATCCCGTCTTATTGAATAAAACATGCTGAACGGTCAAATCTACATCGTGAATACCGAAGACGTTAAGATTTTGATCGGTAGGTGGCCACTTAATTCCCTTATCTTCTCTTATCAGTTATGTCACCGAGTACCTACGATCCCGTTATATCCTACATCACTTATTGAAATGCTGAGGTCCCACTGTTAGTACGATAAGTGTAATCCTACCAAATTTAGACGCTCGAGGTCCACGTAAACAGGAGTTATAAATTAGCGGCCCAAAACTTCTATCGCACACGCCTCGTCCCCTGTGAGTGGAGTCCGGTTCTACCACCCACCATAAGTGTTCCCATCCTGCCCCCCGTACTCCTACCGAGTTTGAATGCTTTAGGTCCACGGGGACAGAACTTATGAATTTCTGTTAGCACAAACATATACACAGCTGGCGAAGTCCGTTCCTCCAAGGCGTGCCACTGGAAACTGCCAACTCTGTGGGCTGAGCTGACCACGGACGTTCGAATGCAGGCGACAGGCCCCGTGACAGCCGGCCAACGAACACCTCAGTCACATCAAAAATGTTAATGTCACTTAAAGAAGTTCGATGTAATCCTACGGCGTCCGCGGGAGCCGACGAGCACTCGCAAGGCCCGGTGAGTGTGAAAAGTATGCGAGGGTCTCCGGTGCAAGGACGGCATCGGGGGACAACTAAGCTAGTCCGAAAGCTACGCAACGTATGGGAGAAACGCGTTGCGACCTTAAATGTTGGCACATAAACGGGACGTTTGCACGAGTTAGCAGAAGCTCTAGAGCGTCGACGGATTGATTTCTGTGCCATGCAGGAAATGAGGTGGTTCTGCTGCAAGTCCAGGGACATTGGCCTCGGCTTCAAAGCCGTTCTCTGTTGTGGCCCCAAAACCACCAACTGCGTCGGGATAATAGTCTCTGAACGGTTCCGTGACTCGATAGAAAGCGTGGAACGCTTCGATGACAGCCTAATGAAGATCGTGGTAGTCATCGAACGCCAAAAATACCATCTCTTCTCAGCTAATGCTCCGCAGACTGGATGCTCCGAGCAGACCATGGGCAACTTCTTGAACCTGCTCGATGAAAGGACAGCTGAAGTACCGTTACAGGAAGCCATAGTTGTCGCAGGTCACCTCAACGGCCACGTGGGCGCTACGAAAGACGGTTATAGCTGCCATGGGGGTTTCGGATATGGGTCACATAACACTGATGGCGAGCGAATTCTCGAATATGCAGACTCGCATAATCTCGCCATTGTGAACAAGAGATTCCGCAAACGTGACTCTCATCTCATCACCTTCTATGGCGGTGAGAACAGAACGCAAATTGATTTTGTCCTTGTCAGGCACCGCGATCAGGGGCTCGTAACAGACGCAAAGACAGTTCCATATGAAACGGTCGCAACACAACACCGACCACTGATTTGTACGTTGAAGGTCGCCCCGCCGAAACCGAAATTAGCAGAAAGGTGCGGGCCTGCGAGAATCAAGTGGTGGCGACTGAAGGAGAAAGAAGAGGCCGTCGTTTCCAGCATTCTGTTACCAGCGGTAACGACTGTCGACGAAACTTGGAAGGGAGCTGCGATAGCGATAACCCGGGTTGCACGGTCGAAGCTCGGCGTGACCAAGCCTAGACGGCGAAAGCTCGATAAGCAAACATGGCTGTGGACGGACCATGTCAGGGATAAAGTCCGTGAGAAGAAAAGGCACTACCACGCATTTCTTAGCCAAAAGACGGCGGACAACTGGCAACGCGATGAGATAGC